GTAGCAAATATTGTGTAGTATCAACATGTTGATGTTTGGCTTGATGGGCGTTATTTCACTATTTTAAGTATGAAGAAAAAGGGCTCTGAAAGATATTGTATTTTAGTGGAAGTATCAGTGAACATTTTTTAACGCGTGGTTTACGCAGTTCGAAAATGGGAAACTTGACTTGGAAGATGAATGAATTTTTCTTGACGTTGCTCGATTAAGACTTGTGCGAAGAGTTGTCCAAATCGATTGGAGTCGACTTTTAGACGGTCCGAAAAAAAGAATACAAAGATCGCCAATGTAATTTTGATTCATGGTAATGCAAGACCACCCTATGTTATAAAGTTACGCGAAAATTTATTTGGAAAAGCTGAAATGGGAAGTTTACCAGATATGGCTCTATCCGATTGTCATTTGTTTGTGCATGGCTTGTCACACAGTAGCACTTCGAGAACTTTGAGATGATCAAGAATTGCATCAATTCATTCATCGAATTTGGAAAGCTTTACCAGGAGATGGCTAAGATATATAACGATGGACAATACTTTGATTAACGTTACTGTAATGATACTCTCATAATAAATCACGAAACTTTGGAAAAACAACGATGCGAAGTGATTCCAACACCTATATAAATTAATTCTACTTTCATAATTCTTACTGAGTCCAAGTCTACTGAGGGTTTCCATTATTCTAAGAACTCCTCCAAATCCTGGATACCAGTGGCCATCTTGTAACAATGGTATTACATCAGAAACTAACCAAGCATGAAATCTTCGGTGGTACAGGCGCCACATCTGCTGCAGTTACTGTTGGCATAGCCTTCAAACAACTTACTGCAGCCGCATAGTACTTTACTAATACGTATGCTGATCCCTACAATTTCAATTATCATTCGAAATATTTATATAGAATACAAATAAAAAATAGTTATTGAATTTTCTTCTAATGTCAATAAAACCTAAAGTTTCTAGTCCAATATTATTATTATTAATATTGCATTTTATCACATAAGTAGCATATTTATTCTACGCAGTTTCCAAATGCGCCTAAAGTTAAATCAATAAGTGATAATATGCATTATAATAATAATTTTATAAAAATTAAAAATATTGGTTGAATTGATATTCAATTCGTTTTATTACTTCTTTATGAAGATTTCTAAGTCCCAATCTTTTGAAAGGCAAAGCTACAGAACAGGGTGCAATTTTAGAATCTAAATACGGAATTGGTATTATAGCATCTCCTGGATCTTTCAGCCTATTTTTTCCTCCAAATTCATTCTGGCCTAGAACGAATAAAATACATCAATGTTATATAGAATCATTTTTCATTTGTATCAATTTATCATATATAACTTGTTAATATTTATCAGTACTTACTTCCGAAATTAGTTTCTTTGTGTACTGGTTTGAGTAAAGAATTAGGCCCTTGCATGTCCGATTATTTCTAGATGCTTGTGATGACGGTAATGGTTTTGCCTAGAAAAAATATATTATTAACTTCCGAAGGAGAAGTTATATTTTCATCAAAAATCCGATTCGCTATCACCAATTAGAAATCGCATTGTTAACTTCCCGTAGTTATAGTAATGGACCGAAAAACAGAAATGAATTTTTTACATATCTTTACGTTTCAGAGATTTCTGAACATTTTGGCATACCTAAGATTAAATGAATGTGCGTGTGTGTGTGTTTTGTCCGCATTTTCTCGATCAACCGATTTAAATGGTTCGAAAAACATTCAATTCCTATTGATAAGGAGTGCAGAAAATAGATATCGAGTTTATGAGAGAACGGAGTATCCGATTTAAATGATTCAATGGTGATTTGTTTTGGCTAATGTGGGTTGAACCATTTCGAAGATACAGGGCTAAATGTACAAAAAATGGTAATTTTGAGAGAACTAAGCATCCGATTAAAATTAACTGCTTGTGTTGCCAAACAATTGCTTTCGGATTTTTTTTATTTCAAAATTATTTTTTTCGAAAAGTTTTTTTTTTGTATATCGAAAATAATTCAGATGTACAAATAATAAGTTAATTAATAATAATAAATTTGTAAATATGTACAATAGAATCCGATTAGTATGGCGCCGGATATATTGACAACCGCTTATAATGACGTAATCGCACTAAGAAGTTTGGTTTCCATATAAAATTCCTTAAAAAAACAGCTGCCTAGTCGGATATATTGACATCGCTTACATTGACATGTCGCTTATAATGACCCATTTTTGCAAAAAATTATGTCCAATTATAATTTTACATGATGTGGCCAAGTCTACGAAAGCAATTGCTATGTCTTTTATGCACAATAGCACTAGGGACTGTTTTTACAATAAAATTATGTAAGAAATAGATCAAAAATTACTGATTACTTACATTAGAAAATCACATTTGTATGTTTATGGGTAGAGTAGACCAATTATTAATGGTCCACCACGGATATCTCGTAAACAAATAAAATTAGACTTTTTTTTAACAAAAATATTTGATAGTAGAGGGCAAAAAATGTATAAATTCATAACCAGCCATCACCTTTATTCTTATGACTCTGCTATCAGAAGATAATCACCATATGAGTGGGATAAAAGGACCAGCAGAACCTTTACTTTGGCAAAGGTGTAAGCGATAAAATAGTAAAGTTTTTAAAAAAGCAATTTTACAAGAGATAATTAAATAAATTGTTATTCCGGCTCGTCTGATGAATATTTTCTGACCAATAGCATATCAATGCAATATACTGTGTTATCTTGTAACAAATGTACCCACAGAATTAATATTTTGCATTGGTTCATAATGTAGCGTAAAATCCTTACTTAAAATTTAATAGAAGAAATTGCATCTGCTTGCCCCCTGGTTGTCCCAATTTAGCCCGTATGTGAGGTAAAATGGATCAGATACCAAATTTAAAAAAAAATAGTAAAAAAAATAATATTTATATAAATAAGAATTATGTGAATTTTTTCTGTACATAGTTCGATAGATGCTTGTTTGATGTGTGTTGTGTGTCAAGGTTGTTCATTGGGTTTAGACAGTATAATTATGAAAGTCAAATGGACCTTTGTGCCCCACCTTACCCTATGCCAATTTTATTTATATTAAACTTTAATATGTCATTTTTATTTTAATTAAAATGTATGTATAGGCTTTTTTTTAAA